GGGAGTCACTTTCCTTTACCTGTAAGGCCTGATCTGTCAATCAGGGGGTATCTTTCATTCCCGAGCCCCTCCTTCCAAGTTTAAAGAGTATGGCAGAACAGTGCTAACTGAAGCACAACAGCAAACTGTCTCTATTACAGGATTATTGTCAGCTTTCCCCATTAAATTAATGAATACAATTTCCATCCATCCATCATTTTTCTTTTTTTTTTTTTTTTGCATTTTTGAAAAATACACTACTTATTTTTGCTTCAAAAATCCAACTGACCCAAGCATTTGAAGATTCATGTCTCCTTTGTAATCTTTCTATGATATGGATAAAACAACTGATGTAAAATTAACTACATACAAAAACATTTGCAGAACTAGGGCCAAAGGCAACTAGAGAAAGAACATTACGAAAAAATAACTATTAAGTTACACTTTGGTAGATGCTTACCTGCCTTGGTTTTGCTCCATTTGTTTATAAAATTCAGGTCATCAAAAGAAGCAGAAATTCTGTCTTGGGATAGGTAAATCAAATGCTTATCCCAGTAAGCATTAAGCAGTAGTGGTACTAAACTTATAGCCTATAAATAAAACAAGTAAATAACTTATTTATATTATGGAAGGAACTTCTCAAATGTGCTAACAATAGTACATAGGAAATGAGAAAAATTTTGCACTGAAATTATTATTTTTTAAGGAAATTCCTAGGCTGACAAACTTTTTTTAACCTAAAAATCTGAAAAATTGCACTAATGTCACTTATTTAAAAGCATCATGTACTTATACATAGGAAGAATCAGCATCCACACTAACAGAATATTCAACACAAAAGATTAACCAGCTGGGATAATACCATGTTTCATGATTTCTTTAAAATAGTTACCTGAACTATTTCTAGAAGTCAGAATTCTTATATTTCAAAGTAAGAAATCATTAACCTGTCCCTGTGAAAAAGGGATCAGATTTTCAAACTATGCTGTTATATTTCCTATATAAAATACAATTCCTAACAAAAGCCACTTGACAGGCATATAGTATCAATGAAATAGGCTATTTCACATAAGTTCATTATGCATATAACACACTTAATGGTCAGTTACTGATACAAATCTGAGACTGTTCTGCCACAAGAGCAATTCTCAAATTTTGGTCTATAAACTGTTTCTTTCAAAGTTAATAATGTTTTCATTAAAATATGTGATGGCAATGGCAAGCAATTTAGACATTTGATATTGGCCCATTGGTCAATGAAGCACCTTGCCAGGGTATAGAGTTTTTAGCCTTTCAGATTCTTGACAATCTGTTTCTAAATTTTGGGGTGAATAAAAAAAGAAGATAATTGCTGAAGTCAACTTTCTGGTCAGATGATCTGTGAAGTTTGGAAGGCAATATGCACAGTTTGCAGGTCCAAAAAGTAGGTACTTATGTCCCACTAAAAAAAAAAAAAAAAAAAAATCCCCAAGAGAAGCATTTACAGAAATGGTGTTATAAAAGGAAATATCACCCTAAGCCAACATATGTCTGGGGAAAGGAAAAATCTAGAAATAGAGTAAAAGGTGAAGGGTGGCTCTCACTGCAGGACACACTGTAAGACTCTTTAAAATTTATTGTGGCTGTCAGATGAAAGGAATGCAGAAACCAACATGAACTGAAGTTGTTTTGCTCTTCATTGTTTCATCCCTCTGCACATTTCCAAGTATTCCAACCAACTGAGCTTTCTTTATCAAAAGAAATGCTATTTATATTATTTAAACATGCCTGTTAGGATTATTTTCAGGAACACTGGCAAATTAAAGGTGTTCTACTTCCACAGAGCATTATCAACAGAAAAGATCCGGTTCAGCCTTGCATTATTAAGCACTCTAGTACAAGGATCATGAACCCCAAAGCAGCTGCTGAGGATTGTTTCTCCAAATAAGAAGTGCTGTGTTTACAGCTGAGGTGGTAATTAAGGAAAGAAGGACATCTTCTGCTTACAGTGTTATACACAGGATGAAGCACTTTGGGATCCCAACCTGGTTATGAATAAATGTGTGTAATATAGATGGTAAATGACAATAAAAATACCACACCGATAATACAACACATTACTTCTTTATCCAGGTTTCACAAACATACAGAACTATACCATTGCTTAAAGAATGCTTTTGAAAGCTTTCACATCTTCCACATTTAAAACATAAAAACTTTAAAAGTGCTTTTTTCATTTCTGTTTTTTTCAGCCATTTTGGCTATTTCTTTCTAGTTGTGCAAGGTGTTGGGCAGAAGTAATGGCAGGTTTGTATCACTATAAAGGGAATTTAAAAGTGTTGAAAAAATACACATGTATAGAAAATTAGTATTATTGTGTAAGAACTTAGTGTCAAATGATGGTTTCATTATAAAGAGGAAACTTTTGCAAATTGTTGTGCCAAAACAACCACAGCATTACTTTTCATTTTCTTGCCATGCTTTTGCAGAAATTGAAAACATATCAGTTCTGTCAGCAGCAAAACTTGAAGCAAAAGATGTTCTGTCCTTTTTGTCTTTCTTATATCCAACTCCATTTAGGAGTGTTGTATCCTGAATAAGGATCTCGGGTCTCTAGAGAAAAATTACAGTGCTTGGAGAACACTAGGGTAAGTAAATAAACAGTTTATTAAGAGCATGCATCTTCATTCTTGTGGATCATGCTGTTATACAAAGGCAAAAGGTGGCAGTGGTCAACTAGTTATCAGCTCTCCTGCTTCTATTCTTCACCCGTTGCAGAACTCAGACAATCACACACTACCAATATGCTTGATAGAAGTAAAACTTGGCATTAAACTTATTTTTTCCAAGTCACCCATAGCTGACTTTAACTTGCCTAACTATTTGTATTGTTCCACACCTGCAGCAGTGAGAAGTTGAAGGATGCTCCTCCTTTTCTATTAGCTCAGTCAGCTGTCTTCTTTTTCTAAATCTTCAATACTAACTGTTGCATCTTCAAGAACAGGTTTTATTGAGTCAACTAGTTCTATTTGTAGAATTGCATCTTGAGAATCCACTGTCTCAGCTCCTTTTAATAATTCAGTATCCTTGTCCTCAGAAGAAGTCCTGCTAGACGGGAAAATTTCAGACCAGCAGCTCCATATTCCACTGACCAATGTGAGAGCAGAAGTTTCTTTTGGAATTCCATCCCTCAGTTTTGCAAACTTTTCAAAATCTAACAAGGGATGCTGCAGCTATGATATTGCTTGATTGCTGGAGACACCTTGATATTGAATTTATCATGAACAGGGAGACTTCTCATAGACACAGACCTAAGGAAAAATATACTAAAATTAACTAAAAGTTCACACATCTATTAAAGAGATCAAATCGCAATCTGCCACCCAACAACTACTTAAAAACCTATTGTTAGCATTTTTGTTAAGGATAATTTTTAGATTTATCAACCATTTGTCAAAAAACATAACTGAAGCCACAGGTAAGCAGAATTGTTCTGAATTATTTCTGTCAGCAGAACTTTCAGCACTTATTTGCAGTTGGATTCTTATTTCCTCCAACAGCTTCTAACTTAGATTTGCAAGGACACTGTTAAAACTAAGAAAAGACAATCTTTTAGAGTGGACAATTACCAGCCTGGCTAAAAATTATAAATCTTAGATGGACTGAAGATATTAATGATAGATCCCAATATTAGGAAGAGGCTGTGAGAATATAAGCAGAAGCATAACTCAGAGATGAAAAAAGTACTTGAATTTACAAGAACATTTCCAGAATTATAAACTGGGAAAATTCATAGCTTCCAGGATAAAACTCTTCACAGATGATCAAGATCAACATCTGCTTTGAGACATCAAAGTGAAAGAAATGGAAGTCTTTAACAGAAGCAATCTTTATCACAAACAAAACTACTCTTGCTAAAGCAGAAAGGAATACTAGAAGGCAATACAGGAAAATATTGTATACATGTATATATTTATAAAACTATGAACCTAATATCTATAATATTTTAAACATAACAATCCTACTAAGAAAAAAAGGAAAATTAAGTAAAACTGTAGCAGGCCCATGCATAAATGGCGTAAATATAGTACAAAGATTAAATTCCTTTAGTTTAGCTAAGAAAGCCTTAGACAGCAAAGAACAACACAATATCCCTGTCTAAAACAAGATTTTGGAAAAAGGCCACCTTTTCCCTTAGTCACAGCTCACTATACCAGCATATCACGTCATTTAAGTGTTCTTTGATGTTCTTAAGAATAAACCTACTAAAAGGTGTCTAAAAGCAGAAAAAAAATGAGAAGCTGAATAGAAAATTGGTCTGAAGGAGCAGGCCTGAGCATCAGTAAGTCCAAGGTGGATACATATGACTGTACACAAAAAAAGACAACATTTGGGTTTGGGGTTTTTTTTGCAGATCACACTTCAAGCATAGGTATTTCAGAAATATCAAAATAAGAGCAAGAACATTAATTTATCTTTTTTTTTTTAATTACTTGAATAATTCCTAAGGTACCCTATATCTTAAGTCCATAAATAATAAACATTCACTAGAAAAACATTTTGAGCGACACACAAGACCAAAAGATAAAAAAGCAAACTACTTGTTTGATGTGATCTACAAAGTTCATGGTGCAAAGGTTAGTCCAGCCTAGCATTTTTGTTTCCTGAGAACTTAGATTTTTCCTTCTTGTTTTCCAGAAGAAAGAAGTTTGACCATTTTAATCATGCATTTATATGTGGATAAAGCTTTTTTCTATTGCATGAAGCAACACTATTTCCAGTCAAATTGCAGTGTATACTAAATGTCCTAAAGATAACTGAGCAGTATGTATTTTTGATTTGCATTAAAAAGAGACATTATTCCTAAATAAACAAATTATTATTACCTAATTTCTGAACAATATTTACTAATAAAAAAGATAACACCTATAATTAGATAATACAGTTACAAATTAAAATACATTCCTTAAAGAGGCAATACACATTAAATAAAGAAAACTTTTAAGAATCTTTGGGGGTTGACTTAATTTATTAATCACAGCTTCTAATTTTCTAGGGCTTATTCTTTTCTCTGATTTCTTTGTTTCCTTTCTTCTTGGGACAGCAGTGTATTTAATCCCAGCCTTTTGAGGTTGCTCCATGAGAATAATGTCATTCTCACTATCCTCTTGTCCAGTAGACATGCCTCAAAGTAGGCATTTTTTCTACTGGTATGTCTCTCTGCATTGACTGAGGAACATCACAGATTTGAATCAATATATGCTTGGTAGGGGAGCTTTTCCTGAGCATTGTCTCAACCTCTGGTTCAGCTGTTATTTCATAACCTTCAACTCTTTCATGCTGGTGTTGAAATTAGCTGACATATTTAACACAGTTTCAGCTTTGAAAGCAGTCATCTCCAGAGCTGATCCTGATCCTTTAGTCAAACTTGTCTGTTAAAAAAAAAAACAATATATTTTGTGGTTTATTTGAAATATGATTTATAGAGTCAATTTTATTTTATACAAAATTGGAAAGAAAAGTAAGTGTGAAACAGGGACCACACCACTGGAAAAAAAAGAGAAAAAAAAAGCAGTATTTAATTGGAAAAAAACAGATTACTTACCGCAGATACGTGTCAAAGCAAAGAGATCTGAAACATTAATTTGCAGTTATTTGAAGTTCCTAAAGGATTAAAATCAATCTTCTTTAAAAAATTTGAATTAAATACCCCAAATCCTTGTTGGAAAGTTCAAATACTTAGTTCAAATTTCACATCTGGTGTTTAAATTATTTTATTTATAATTGCATACAAACTGCTACCATGTTTCATCTCCATCTTTAAAATAACATGCCACAACATTTTAATCAGGTCTTTATGGGCTATATATAAGTTTTAAATAAATACACAGTCCTCAAATTCTTAGTCAAAATATTTTTTTAACCTTAAAAAATGCAACTAAATTTACTTGTATAATGCTATCAAGGTCACCTTTGCACAAGTGTAGAATTCATGCAGTTTATTGCCGCTTTATGTATTTTGTGAAACTAACTTCAATAACCATAAAACTACACAGCACTTCACAGATTGGAAACTTCACCACTGATGCCCTGATATATCTGAAATCCAAGGACCCCATACCACAAGTCTTTGCTCCGTTACGTTCTTGCACTCACTTCAGATTAGCTATAGTAGTGAGCAGAGACCACTCACACTTATCTCTACCCAAATGCTCATAAAGTTAACAGGGGTTCTAATTGCAGAGCTATGTTCTCCTATTTAATGTAACCAATCCACCTGAAAAAAAACCTTTGAGACCCTCACTTTTGCATCTAATAGGAAAATAGTAAGTTCAATTCAGTTGAAGAATGTCTTCCACAAAAATCACAGTTCAGGAACAAATATAAGTAAATATAAAATAATAATACCTTTGAGATCTCACTTTCAGAAAAATAAGGTGAGGACTGGTATATTCTCAGTAAACTTTTTGTCTATAGATAAAACAAAAACCAAACTAAGTCTGAATTAGTCTAAGCCTAATATGAATACAGTTTTCAGATACATTCTGCTTTTAAAAGTAGAGACTGCCAAAAGTAATAGAGCTAATATCTGGGGGGAAAAAGTAAAAAAATAAAAAAAAACCTGCAAATCTGTATTTTCATTAAAAAAAAAAAAAAACCACACAAAAAGAAAAGGAAAACAAAAAAACCCAAACAACCTCACCTTTGCCAGAGTGAAGTGAGGACTGCATTTATCTGGATTTCTGGATGTCTTGAGCAAATTCCACTGTCAGATGTCCAAAAATCCAAGATACATTCAATCTACTCATACAGATTAATGCTAAAGAGCAAGCAGTCAGTGGACACACTATATTGTAGATGCATCAATCTCAGAACACACTGTGAATATGCCATACTGTTGATCACCTAGCGAATTTACTGCATGTATGCAGATGTCTTTCCAATTAACATGTCATAATGTTGGGAATCCCAGACAAAAAAGTGACCATATAATATCACAACCAGAATTTCCAAGGAGGTTACTACTACTTCTTGGAAACCTGTATCCGCTTCATCTGTTATTGTTTGTTGCTGTTAATAGACTTTCTTGTACCACAGTAACAGTTTTCTTTTTCAGTAAAAGACATTCCCAATAGGTCCACAGTAAACATGGAATAAAATATTATGGTTTATTAACTGCAGATTTTCTTGCTTCCAATCATTGTATCTAGCGGCCCAGTCAACCTGTAGACAAAGGGCTATCAGCACTTTTTCTGTCTGGTGGACGGTTCCAAATCTGTTTATAGTTACATATACAACCATAATGTATTTGTGTCTGAACTCAAACATGATAAAAATTCCAACTAGTTTTTAGCAAAACACAAAATAAGTGGGCATAGTGGAACACCCAATAAGTCACTCCACTGAGATATGTCATATTACTCAAAACCTGTTATTTATATCACACACCCTCACCTAAACTATCACCTAGTGCTACAATAAAACAAAATTAAAAGCATCTTTAAAGCATGTAATGACTCTTTCCAAGCAGTCTCAAGTTTCAAAAAGTGAGATTTAGCATTTTCTAGCTATTAAAAAATGAACTAATATCTAATATAAAATTGCTTCCAGAAGGCAACTATATGGAAATATTTTCTTATGACTAGATCTTCCAACTACGAATTGTTTTGCTAATCTTCAATGTTACATTAAAAAGTTATCTTTAGCTTTGGTAATTTATGTGAGATTGCAGTACTCCATACAGTAAGAAAGAACACAGCTATCAATTTGGTCACAGTAAAGCTAGGAGATGGGGAACTATGTCAGGTTATCCCTGCTTTCAATTGATCCATGCATAAGCATGCTTTATCTCTTGCACAGGAGTGTGAACTGGTCATGAAATGCTAGTTGCTCTGTAACCTTTGACATATGAAGGCGCAGAGTGCTACAAATATGGTCATACAATAGGCATGTCATTTTATATCAGCAGCTCATCTCTGAATATAATCACAGGGGAGATTTTACATTACTCATTTTCTAAACTTGACTTTGTTAAATATAAGAATTATTTTTAGATTTTAATAGAAATCACTGCCAGCATAGCATAACAGAAGCAAAATTAAGCCAAACAATGTCAGCATAAATGTAAAGACGTTAAGCAAGATAATAGCAAGCAGTAATTAAAAATAATCACTACCAGAAACTTTATTGTAGAAAATGAAATTAAACATTACTATTCAATAAGTGTTATTACAAGTTGTGTAATGAATTATATACCATACTTACAATATAGAGAAGTGGTAATAGGATAGCAGCATAAAACTATTACAGTTACCAGATATAATGATAGAAAAAGATGTATATTTCTGCAAAAGATGATAACACTAAAAATACAGTTAAAATATTTACCTCATATGTAGGAAATAAAATTTTCTTTAATAAACCAATTGGAGCACAGAATTTTGGTGGAGCTGGAGACCAAAACACTTTTAAAGCTTCCGGATAAATTGAAACCTTCAAAACCAACCCATTTCAGTTATCAGCTAGTATAAACCCAGTTTACAAATGTCTGTACTGAACCTTAACTATTAGGTAATAAAATGCTGTTTTCTGCTAAACTTGATTTTGTCAAAAATAACCCCACCAAATACAATGAAATCCTGATAGGTGTAGGACTCCACAGCCTGAATGAACTACCTGGGTTGTTCTCTTAGTGTTTTTGTTTGTTAGTAATTACCACATTAGCATATTTTACTACTTTAGAGAAGGAATTAGGAACTAAGACATGAGGTTTCAGAACACTACTCCCCATTGATGAAAAACTACATATACATTTTTATATTGAATGTTGTCAAATGTTGAAAAATCAGCAAGACTATTTACAAGGTATTCTGTTCTTCTGTTGCATGACACCATAGTAACAAATAATCATCATCATCACCCCCAGATTCTGTGTCTTAATTTGCAGGATTTAGCATGTACAGCACACATGTATTAAAAACATTTCTTACTTTCTCCCCTAACAGTTGCAGCTGCTTTTTGGCATTCAGTTAGGCTTTTTGATGTATGAGGGGGAAGAATATGAATCCCATCTGTCTGATTATTCTGGAATTGCTCTGAAATAGGAACTCCTTCGTAACAAATTCTGCAGCAACATAAAAGATGAATAAATTACTCTGATCATGTCAGGTATTAACAGCACAGAAACAGCCTGGTTGCTAAAGGCAAAGGAAACTAGGTAAAATTTAAATTAAATTAGAAATAAATTCAAAATAAAACACTTTTTTCTAAAGATTGAAATGACTCAATATACAATGGAAACCTGGAAATCTTGTAGTGTTTGTAGCCACACACACCAAACAATCTTAAAATGACTTTCATGATCAGGTCCATGGTGTATATTACAGAAGTCACAAGAAAAACGTAACACTAAGCTCTAAATTAATATGAAATGCTTTACATGCATAACTTCATGCATGGCAAATACACCAGTCAAGTGCTGTGACTACAGTCAGATATACCTAAATGCCAAAGAGAACTATTTTCAGCAGGACTGGCTGGCTGGCTTTGAACAGCACCTTATGTGATTACTTGGGGATTGGATTCTGATTATTTTTTGTTTGCCTTTTTTTAAATAAATCTACCTATTGCAAACATCTCTCGTGAATGGAATATTTCCACTTTAGAAAGCTGCAGCTTGAGTTAATTATACATCCCAATTTCCTATTTACAGTTTTAATTTCCAAAAACAGCAAACACACACAATACAGTAATTCGTAAGTGTGCTTATATATGCAGATATATATGTACATGTATATATATACACACATATATTTTTACATATATTTTTATATATATATATAAAAATCTGTAATAACTGTTCTGCGTCTATTTCTTTTGTTCCCAGCACCTCTGCAAGGAAACTCAGATTTAAAGGACCTATTACTACTACCACCAAGCTGGTAAAATTATTTTAAAGGTTAGTAGCAACAACTACTAACTTTTCCCACTTAAGCAGATATTTTGCAGGATTTATACAGGAAATTATAATGAATATTTTAACAGACAGCATGTTACCTTTATATTTTTTGTTATACTTGTAGCTTGCTTTATAAAACAATACTTAAGTTCTCCCTTAGCTCTTACTGTAGCAGTAGTTACAAGCACAGAAGTCAATAAACAGTGAAATATGTAATATATATACAAAAGAACGAGAAAAAACAATTTCATATGTTCAGGTATCCATACATGTATGTAAATTAAAACACTTGACTTTTCTCAGCACACTGCCATAGGCCAACACTGACATCTACTGGCGCTACTCAAGTTTGGGGTAGTTTTTTCTGTAAACACTAAATTAATAAAGTTTCTTTGTGCATTAGTGGAACTAAAGTGTCTAACTCCTGTTGCTTGCAATTTCACTGTCAGACGTATATCTGCTACATTGGATCTGATTCCCATTTTGCTGACTGAAATGTATTTCCGTTTTAAGAATTCAGTTATTCAATTTATCAGAAAACTGTGTAGATGGGGGGTCTCAACATAGCTGAGAACCAGCCATTTTATTCAGAAAAAAAAAAAATGCCTTCTGAAGTACATTTGAACATTAAAAAAGAACCCTTAAAATGTAGCACTAGCCCAAGAAGCTGTATTTCAGAGAGAAAGACTATAAATCTGAGAATAGTTCTTGAACTCTTTCTGGAATATTCCATGTTTCAAGTCAAAGCTCTGATAAAAAACTTATGTCTTGAAGAAAAACAAGAACTGAAAACCTAAGTCCTGAAAAGTGCTTGGGTTGCCCAGTTTTTATTTAAATCTAGCTTTTTTGTGGTGTATTAGGTTTGCATGGCAAGGTTTTGGTACCTGGAAGGGCTACAGGAGTGGCTTCTGCAAGAAGCTGCCAGAAGGTTATCCTGTGTCCAACAGGACCAGTGTCAGCCAGCCTCAAGACAGACCCCCTGCTGCCGAGGCTGAGCCCATCAGCAAGGTGGTAACTCCTCTAGGATAGCATATTTAAGCACGGGGAGAAGTAGAACTGTGATACCGCAGCTGAAGAGGAGTGAGACTGTGAGAAAGCCAACTCTGCAGGCACCAAGGTCAGTGAAGAAGGAGGCAGAGGAGGTGATCCAGGTGTCCAAGCAGATTCCCCTGCAGCCCATGGAGGACCTCAAACCAGAGCAGGAGGATGCCCAAAGGAAGCTTGACCCCATGGGAAACCCGCACTGGAGCAGATTTGCTGGCAGGACTCATGACCCCACAGGGACCCACACTGGAGAAGTTTGCTCCTGAAGGACTGCACCCATGGCAGGGACCCACAGTGGAGCAGTTTGTGAAGGACTAATGCTGGGAGAAGTTCACAGAGGACATTAGGGACCGCACACTAGAAGCGGAGGAAGGGCGTGAGGGGTTCTCCCCCTGAGGAGGAAGGAGCAGCAGAAATAATGTGATAACTGACCACATATTTCCCATTCCCCTGTGTCATTCCTTGTTACCCTGTGCCAGTTCAGGGAGAGGAGGTAGTGAACTTGGACGTAAAGATAAATCTGGGAAGAACAGAGGGTTCGGGGAGGCATTTTTTAGATTTGGATTTAGTTCTGATTACACTTCTCTGATTTGATTGGTAATAAATTAAACTTGTTTTTTTTCTCTCCAAGTTTGTTTTGCCTGTGACAGTAATTAGTGAACGATGTCTCCCTGTCCTGATCTTGAACCACAAGCCTTTTGTTGTATTTTTGTCCCCTCTACAGTTGAGGAGGGGAGTGACAGAACCCCATTGGTGGGTACCTGGCAGACAGCCACTGTCAAGCCACCACAGGTGATTCTGACTCTTCAAGGTGGGTGTCTGCGTAAAAGAAATGTCAAGTTATACAAGATACAAAAAGGTATAAAACAATCAAAATATTTCATAGCATTTGGTGGTTAGAAGTGTTTTAAGTGAACCCTGGAAGAAGAGCTGTCCCTCTCTTAGGGCATTTTTGTCATCAAATAGTATAAACTCCCTGAACTGAAAACTAAGTAATTAACTACGAGTTAATGTGAAACAATATTTAGACTTTATTTCTGGAAAAGAGAAGCAAGATGGAGGAAAACTCCAAGTAATAATTACACTGATCTAATAATATTCTGTTTCCATCTGCTGGTAAAAAACTAAAATCCAAATGTCTCAGGGAGATGGAGGCACTCTTGCATGAAGGAATCTTAATAAACATAACATGAAGCTACAAATTCCAAATTGTTGTAGGATAACCATCAGGAACAGGTCTGACTACCTATATGAAACCTTCATAATAACATATTTAGCTTAATACTTGTTTTCATGGCTAAAAAAAAAATAGATTTTCAACTCTCAGGCAACCAATGCCTGCAGAGTATGACAAGATAAAACAGGAGAGCAAAGGCAAGGCAGCTTTGCTACCTGATGAAATAAATTTAATACAGTCAATCCCAGGAGAGAGTTGTACTTGACCGTGGGAAGCTTACGTCTTGAATCTTGATAAATTGTTACACCCTGTTCCACAAGATGTTTTTTGCAAACATGAAAACTTCTATATATGTCTTTAAGCCTGTAGACATTTTTCATAGTGAATGCTACAAAACAACAACATTATTGCTTTCTAGATCTGATCTACCATAAAATCCTACACTGTAGGCTTCTTTGGATTTTGCTACAGTCAAAGAAAATTCTTTCTTTACTTTTTTGGTACTGAATTCCGTGATAGATCTGTTGCTATTTAAACAGTTGAGAAAGTCATTTGAATTTTACTACCCACTACACAGAAATCATGCTTATCTCCATCCAGAGCATTTCCATTTGTGAAATTAGCTAAATGCAGGGAACTGATCAGTAATAAAATGTGAACAGCTTAAATGGACCTAAATTAGAGGCAGGTAAATGATCTTCAAGATTCACATAAGGCAACTGGTTTTAAAAATTTGAAACAGAATATGACAGCAGATGGTGCCACTAGATGGCAGTGCTCCAAAGAATTTAGTTTCTAGATTTTGAGGATTAAACGAATTCAGCAAGGAATTTTCATATGGGCTTCTTTTTAAACTGTAATTCTCTTCATCTCCAGGGAATGTAGAAATTTCTTCTCACAAAATTCTACTGATTCATAAAGCTCAGACTCACCCTCAATTTTCTCAATCTGTTGTCTACTTCTTGAAAACCAAATCATTCTCTTCTTTAAATCCCATCCTTCCATAGCTTCTACAATTCATCTTTCCTATTCTCACTCCCACCTAACTCCTTCAGTTTCCTGAGTATTTCAAGAGTCCTCTACTCTCTCCTCTTCTTCCTCTACTTCTAGTAATGCATACAGGATGAGAAAGTTGGGGCTGTTCAGCCTGGAGAAGGCTGCTTGGTGACCTCCTAGCAGCCTTCCAATATCTTAAGGGAGCCTACAGGGATGCTGGACAGGGACATTTCATCAGGGACTGTAGCAATAGGACAAGGGTAATGGTTTTAAACTTAAACAGGGGAAGTTCAGGTTGGATATAATGAAGAAGCTGTTTACTGTAAGGGTGGTGAGGCACTGGAACAGGTTGTCCAAAGAAATGTCAGTGTTCAAGGCCAGGTTGGACAGAGTCTTGGGCAACGTGGTCTACTGTGAGGCATTCCTGCCAATAGCAGGGGGGTTGGAACTAGATGATCTTAAGGTCCTCTCCAACCCTAACTATTCTATGGTTTTATGTTCTGGTGTAAGACCACATATAGGTTCTCTCTACATGGTGATAAAGCGCAATTCATCACTCTATTCTGCACCCAAAAAAAATGCCAGATGATCTTCCTCTTAGGTATGTCAAGCTGCAGTTGCTAGTTAGGTTAGAAGATAAGGATCTTATGAGCCTTTCCCTTTTCAACCTTCACAGACTCCCCACTACTTACTTCCTTCATCACTATGGCTAGTATCCCATCATTCACACAGACACAGAACATAACTAACATTGGCAACATTTTAAAATTAAAGCATTTAACTAATCTCTCTCCAAAACTAAAGTCTGGTATCTAACTTCATATCTTGCTTGTTGCAGCATCTGTTTCTTTAGCCTAGACAAGCATCACCTTGTTCTGTTAGCATTCAGTCCAAGCACCACTGCAAAGATCACAGTTGCTTGCTTTGAACATTATCCCCCTCTTCAAAGTAATAGGAAAAGAATTTCATTCAAATAAAAGATGCTCCCCTGCTTTCAAAGCCTTCATAGCCTTCCCTTTTTTGTCATCTCTAGATCAGTAAAGCAATAGCTACCTCTATTTTTGTGACTTCTGACCCTATCACTGGCTTTCTAAGATTATTTTTCCTTCTTGAACATCTTTTGCCCACCTTCGTGCTGCCTCTTACACCTGAGAAAAGCTCACTACAGTCATAGATTAATTCCCTTAGAATTTCCTTAAATCCTTTTCCACCATGACCTGCAAAAAAGTTAATGAGTTAACGGATGGGTTACTTGTACACTGAAACCCTTGCTTACAATGCTCATCAGTTTACCAGTGTCCTTATTCTCATTGAGTCGTAATCTGTTCACAGACAGAAAATGCTTCTGAATCAAAAGCAAACACTCCAATTATGACCATGAATTATATTCATATGCTTCCCAAAATCCTGACAGAAGCAGAAGCTCACAAAACCCAAAAGGAATCATCAGTGCCTAATCCTGTACCCTGAAATAATACCATCCTTGACGGTTAGGGTCATCTTGACTATATCAAAGGAATTCAGTGACTAAAAACTTCCATAAAGCTATTTATGGATTAATGTTTTTAAGGTCAGAGAAAAGGCTGATGATTACCCAATCTGACCTTCTAAATAATACAGATAATAAAACTTCATCAGTATTCCTGCATCAAGCTCACAATTTGCTGAATGAAACTTGGGATATAACTCTGAAAGAAATCCAGTTTTGATTTAAAGACTGTAAGTATTGGATAATTTCAGAAGCTGCTACCTTTATTGTTGTACATTGAAATCTTATAGCTACTCTCAATTTGTCTTGACTGAAACCTCAACTACTGGGTCTGTTATGTTCTCATTTAGCATACTCTTGCATCAGATACTATATCATGCAGGTAACATATTCAAACCAACTCTGCACCTCTTGTGTAAAGGCAATATAATGATCTTTTAAGATGTCTTAATACAAAACTGCTATTCAAGAAAAAGAGATCTCATACAGGAATCAACACTTCTGCTTGCTCCCCTAGAATAGTACTTGAAACACTGTTAAGAACACAACAGTCTTACAAACCTTCATATGGAAGAAGAATCACAGATTCAACCAACAGGAAATCTGCTGCCCCTCTATGGAACTTAGATTTTTCAGGGGCTGCAGGAAAAAAATTCACTCAATTTCAAATCCAGAACATCGAGCACACTTCTAAGGATCTATTCTTTTAAGTAAGGGCAAGGTGATTTTGTGTTTTCTTTTCTTTTACAAGACAGAAAAAAAAAAAAATAGTGATTTCTACCTCTTTATGAAAATTCGTTATTGAAGCACAGAGCCAGGAAATGAGCATTCATTCATAAGCACTCATTTGAATCTGAGGATTCAAACCTCACCTACCATTAGATTATTTGACCATTTTGGGTACAGGAAGTTGTGCTATTGAGCAGAAAAGAATGCAAAAGTCATGCAGCCAAGAGAAAAAGCAAGTGCTGACATGACTATCTCAGTTAGAGCACCTACCTGGAACAGAAAAGCTCTGTATAATATTTCTAATCCCAGAACTTTTTTTCTATATTATTGCTAATGTCTCACCTCCTTTATTTTAAGACAAATGTGTTTAATTTAAAGTTCAGAGAGCATTAGACAGCCATCTTCTGTTGCTTGTCTTTCAAGACTGTAAAGCTCCTTTCAGAGTTACTGCTTTTCAGGATACAATCTCCCCTCTTACAAAGGATGACCCTAATTCCCTATTCTTATCCTTATGACTTGACTTTTGGCTGCACTAAAACACATGTTTTTCAAGTAAGGTCAAGTTAACAAGCTACACAAATTGCCCTGTAAAACTAACCTAGCTTTATCCTTATTTACTACTCTACCATTCCTTAGATCACTAAAGACTTTGTGAGAAACAATTTTATATTTCTGGAGCTAGTGATACGTAGAAAGTATAACTAGCAAACTACCAGTATGAAAAATCATCAGGAAAAACTTGAGAGTATTTAGTCTCCAATTCTGAGGTTTTTGACACTACTATGTCAACTACAAAGGCACAGAACCACAAAAATGTAAATTAACAAACAATGAAAAACAATGCATATTCATTCATATGCACATTAGTTTAGTGCAGGACAAGTGAAATAAAAGAAAAAACCCAAACATTTAGAAACTCCCTACAAATTATAAAAATTGGTAATATAAAACATGATAAAACTGAGTAGGCTTATTCCAAAATCCATTTACATTTCCTCACTACTTCTTATAGAACAAATTTTTGACAGATCTCCCTTTACATGATGCATCAACGGAAAAAAATAACTATTACGCATTTTGTTCTGCTTCAGTTCCTCATTCATTTAAACGGCAGGATCCTGCATCTATCACGACTACCTTTTACATATGCAATTAATACTTTAGACTACAAGTTTGTCCCAGTTCTGTCTGTGCTCAACTTTGTGCATGTGTTGAGCTCAACAGGACTACACTCAACTACCTAGTTAAGCTTGCTCCTAAGTGCTTGCAGAATCAGCATTGAGGTAAGATTGTCTCTGTGATAAAGGGCTAGTGGGTGTGCACTTTAAACCTTTTACTATTGCAGAATTTTACATTCACAGAAAGCCTACTCTATTTGCTCAGTATTTCTTGTTAATTCAGTGGGACCTCTCATACGAGTAGGATGAACTACTGAAGTTCATATACGTATAACCTAAATTATATATATAATACAATATAATAAATATAACTTAAAATATGTTTACAAAATGCAATCTTAAAAAATACCTTTTACATTCTAAGCAAAATGGAATGTCTCTTAGTACTCTTGTTCTAAGTCTTTTAAAACACATATACAAAATAAGGTGACTTTTCTTCATACCTTTTTCTTTGCCACTTCTTTGAAGCTACTAAATACTGAAATACCATGAAAGTTATTTCTCAACACATAACCTTTAACACACAAAATTGAAGATGCATTAGTTCATACCTTTTCCTTCCAGATTCCTCATTCAAATAAATATATTTGGAAAACATTGATTCTTCCTCCTTATTGTCTGTGTCCTCTGCTGTAAATAAGATGTTGTGACCTCTTCTGTCTGAAGTATGATAAACTCTAGGAACCAGTTGTAAATAAGGAGGCAATATAAAAATAGGAAAAGCAGTACATAGATGATGAATGCCTTGATAATCTTGACCTCTAGAAAGAAAAACAGAATCAAGAATCTTAATACCCATTCTCTCTAAAGTACATAGTTTATGGCATACATCAGACCACAGGATATAAAATGCTAACGTAAACACTTGGTGTAAAGTGTCTGGAAATTTCTGCTAAATGTAGAGATCATATTATTTAGGAAAGAAAAAAAAACAGGTAAAACCTAAATTGTTGGTAATAATTTTAAAGTAAAAAGTAAGTGCAGTAGTCACAATTTTACTCTCCCAACTTCAGTAGAACTTTCACTTGTTGCACTGAAAACTTAAATCAAGTAATGTAGATTTACAGCTTAAATTGGGTATGTGAGTAAATGTTATGCTAAAATGCCACATACACATTCATCTGCAAATTCTCTCCCATGACAGACTACCTTGTCAATACCCTTAAAACTCTGAATTAGTTTTATAATGTGCTATCACTTGAACTTCTTCCTAGCTTTTCAATTCAGCTTTTGATTTTAGAGAAAACACCTGGTCTTTGACTATCTTTGAAAGTTAATAACTGAAAAATTCTACCATTTAACCCTCCAATCT